ACTTCAACTAAACACACATGACTAATTGAGAAAATAGTTTACTGAAAATTTTCCATCAAGAAATGATTGGACAGTTCCAAAGAAACAAATAAGGCAAATGAAATAAACAAGTACAGATGGATATTATAAAGCAAAAAAATATATTATTTATGACTACTACTACAACTTTTAACTAAAATATGAAAAACTCAGTCCAATTTCCATCTATCCGGTTATATTTACTGACAATTTTATTCTTAACATCCTAGGAAAAGTTGAATTAAAATTTGAAAAAAAAATTTACATACATTTATTTTTCATTTATTGATTTTGTAAGATTTACTCAAGACACTCCTAAAAAATTACACTGAATTAAACTACAAAGCATCTGTTAACTATCTGCCTTTTAAAGTTAACATAGTAAATAGCGAGTTTTACATTTAAAGGTGACAGTAAATTGTTTATTTATAATTTGTCAACAATTATGAAACTTTCCTGAGTTTAGAATCTGATTACAAGAAACTTTTAACTTCATCTATTATTGCTTGAAATGTATATCATCACAAAAATACTTCATCATTGATTGTCAGTATAATTTAGAACAAAAATACAAAAAAATTGTTTTAGCCATCAGTCAATATTTATTTGAAATTGTTTATATAGGTTTTCAACTTACACGTTTCATATGTATGTTGTGAATAAAGAATTATATTCACTACACTATAACGTTCATACATTTAATGAAATTAATCTGAATCATACACATGAATTATAAGCATCGTTCGTAATAGTTGAATAATACTTTTTTTGTGGATATTATAGTAATTTCAATAGTTGCTATCATGAGTCAGTTGAAGCTAAACCATCATGAAAAACCTGGAAGCACTGTACGACCGTTTCGTTTCATTTTGGGACTCAACAATAGTGCACATCCACGATCCCACACTAAAAGGGACTCGAACCTAAGAGCTTCGGTCGCATGCGCGAACGTTTAACCTCTAGACGACTGAGCCATTCCAGTGCTCGCAGGTTTTCCATGGTGGTCCAGCTTCAGTTGATTCACGATCTCCACTAGTTGTGATTTTATTTCATATCATGATTTGCAAATCAAATTTCACTTCAAAATAATTTTTAAATATTTAAAAAAACTAATAATACTACTAGTAATATTAATAATGTTTATGATTACAAAGATTATTAATTTCCATACATTAGTTTATCAAATTAAAATGTTGAAAAGCGTTTAAGTCTTCCAGGAAAATCTAACTTTATCATGCTCATCACAAAACTTGAACATTCAAGATTTAATCCGTGGTGTTATTGTTGTTAGTCCCCAATGTTGAAAAGCTACCGATTGGGACAAAACAATACCCTGGTGTTCTTCGATTTTCAGTGATATTCCAGCTGTTGATAGTTCTTTGTACCAATTACTTTCATTATCACATACTTTGACAGATTCCTAGTACAATTATTAGTTAAGTCATCAAGTATTGCTTTTTTCAATATAGTGGCTAAATTTTGAGGAAATAGGTAATGTGGATCTAAGAAAACATCCCGAATGGATAGAATTAACTGAAATGAGTAATATAGAACCAAGACGAAAATGAAATAAAAAGAGTTAGTTTTCCATCTACTAATGCAACGTTTAGAATCTCAATAATTAATTATCCATTTTATCTACTGAAGTGTTTCTTTGGGGTTGTGATTTGTATAGACTGAAGATGGTTTTTATTGTAAACTGATGTCAACTGGAAGATTATTGAAAACCAGGGACTACTAGAAAGTAGTTTTCCCTATAATTTACAAATAATCATCAGTAACCATCCATACCTTCAAAGGCCATTATAAACTATTATGATAAAACAATTTTCAAATAACTAATTAAGCAATACATAATAAATAAACTGTATTCAAAGTTTCATAGACAAGATTCATGTTATTCACAAGTCTGAATATCTAAACTTAAACGTTAGGTTACTTAATATTGAGAACAGACTGTCTGAACTAATGATGTAGCCATCATTGTTTGATTTGCCACATTGTTCAATGGTGATTATTTGACCAAAACACTGTAGTTTTAATTCTGTTTAAATATGACTGAACGTTGAAAAATGAATTCAGATCATTTGAAAATATTCTAGACTGACAAATCTTATCACTGATACGTAATCTAAAATAATAAGAGGTTATGAAGCTTCAAATTCATTAATAATCGTTTGCGACTACACAACATTTACAGAATTTAACGTCCATTTGATACTGCTGTAGAAAAAAGAACAGGAGGACTGGAGATTTATTTGACAGATTACAAAGTCTCTTCACTTTGGGGTTGTGGAGATCGTTGAAGTGCTGTTGTTGATCATTGAGTAGAAACCAATTTTATGACGTCTACTCTTATTGCTGATAGGATATAATGTAACTTCTAATCCATTTTATCCGACATTACATTACAACTCATTGGATGTTAGGGGATTTAGAGTAATAGGTAGGTTATAAACCCAGCAACTAGCTAAACTAGTGTCTGTAACTGTAATAAATAATGACCCAGGTTAGAATGGTATAGTCAACATTCGTTCTTTCAGAAATGCTTTTGTTTACTGGTTCTGGTCAGACTTAAGCCTATGTCTAAGCATTCCTAGTGATTCCTTTGAATCAATTTAATGATCTAAAGTAACATTTTTTTAATTGGCAGTAATCAGTTTGACTGAACAGATCTATGACTCATTTCTTTATGAACATTTTTAAATATTTCCATACATGTACTCTTTACCTTATAATGAAATGTCGTGTGAATGTTATGGAATGTTGATTAATACATAAACGGTTTTTCTATTCTATTTTGTTGAGGTTTATAAGGTATCAATGAAAAGTAGATAATAATGGATACTAGTTTATATTTGTAATTAGAACTCTATGGCAGTAAACAATTTCAGTGTTTAATAGTCGAGTTCATGAGTCAATGTAAGCTAGATCACCATTGAAAACCTGGAGGCACTGGGCAGCCGTTCCATCCTAGTATGGGACTCCTCAGAGGGACTGTGAATGCACACTGCTGAGTCGCATACTAGAACGGAATGGCTGCCCAGTGCCTCCAGGTTTTCAATGGTGATCTAGCTTACATTGACTCATGAACTCAACTATTAAAAATCACTACAATCTCCACAAACCCCCATTGTAATAATTTCAATCTTGTTCAAGATTGAAAACAAGAATCTTTAGATAATGTTATATTTAATTTATTTAGTTAATGTTGGCTATCAATAAATATTAATTAAAGACTGACCTTTTAATCCTAGGTTTTTAACAATTATCAGACAACAGGTTGTAGTAATTAAGTTTCCATCTTAGCCACTAAGTCAAATGATTCAATAATCAGCTAAATTATAATTTTTCTTTTAATGATCGGAAATAATCAAGAAGAACCTATATTTTACCTATGGTATTTTGTATTTATTGATAATTAGTGCCAAGAATGAAAATTTCATGAACAGTTTACTACTGTTCAAATGCTGATTACATGATATCAGTCAAGTAATTAACATGAACTAGTTTAATGGAAAATTGTAATGATCATCTTTACATATTCTCCAGACTAGTTTTATTTTATCGAATATAATAAGACATCTAATTCATTCACAACTCTCCTTTTGTTTAACCCCATTCAAAGTGAGAGGCCAAAACATAATAATCCGTGCACGTCAAGAGAGAAATACAAAGCCCTTTCAATACCGTATTATATATATCAGAGGAATAAACCCTACTCATTGCTATGTTAGTCTTCATTCCCAATCATTTACATTTAGTATCATGAAGTTTGAACCATCGTTATTTATTAGTGAATAATTGATAGAATAATATTTACGTCTTTCTGTAGAATGATACTGTCGATTGGGATTCTTTTGGATTTGAAACATTGGTACATATAATTAATATGAAATGCAGTTCATGTTATTTGTAATCAAGCAAATGAAATCCGTATAACCATAATGCTTTCAGTGATGCCCCTATTAAGGATCATCTATATTTTAGCTATACTATCATTGTCTGGTTATATAAACTACTCATTTATTTTCTATACTTATTCTTATATTAAACTGAAGTTATAGGTATTTAAGTGTCAAAGTAATTTAAATATTGGACCTTTGTATCTAGATGTCATCAATACTTTGTTTGTAATGATCAGCCACAAGGAGCCAAATTATTCACATATCATAAACTTAGATAAATCGATACCAAGTATTTAAAAGATTGAAATTCTATCCTAAGGTTATAATAGATTGTTTGAAATCAGTTGTTTAATCCTCAAAATCTTTATTTCAAAACACATTATGACCCACTATTCCCTTGATATTGTTTATTGTAGAGAGGTGACATAATTTCGAAAATTTTCAACCAATAGTCCCCTGTAATTCATTTACAACTAAGTATTGTTTTAAGTTAAGTACATCATGTTGTATAAAATGGCATTTCCCTTAGTTATATGCTATTTTATTAGCGGGATCTTACATTATTCAAATGCAATGGTTACATGAATTATTACAAGTAACCATGTTCAGTTACGTAAAAATACCAGGCTTAAACCAAAATTTAAGGAAAATCACGGAGCTTCACATTCTAGGGCTCTCAAGCTTTGGGTTAAAGCTGCCGTTGTTATCTACGCAAATTATCCCTTTAAATGTAGTGGATCATGTGGTTCAGCCCAATGCAGAATGTTATGCTTTCCACCAACCTGCCTTTCTAATGGTACAAGGAAACAGCAAATGAAGTATTCACTCAGACTAAATCTCTCCATTTTAATTCGTTAAAATATAGAAGCTCTTATTAAAACATGAATTTGATTGGTTACTATATATTGTCATAGCTAATATGCTTGACAAACGAAATCCGCTTGTTTATCGACTATTTGTAACTAACGTGAAAGCCAATCAAAACACAAGGTCTTTGCTATATAAACCAAGGTCAAGGCAGAGAAGCGATTCATGCTGGAATAAAAAGGCAGTGTACGTAGTTGACGCATTTCTGTCTGGTTTTTGTCCATGTCCGTTAGCCATCCACAGAAAAATGGTCTTCTATTACTTTTACAAGCTGCCAAGAAGTTGGATGAAGAAGGTAGGATGAAGAGTGCCAACTTTCACTATTTTATCTAGAAACATTACATCGATATTCCTATAGTACAGATAAGTGGGAACATAGATCTCAGAGAAATTACGATGAAACACACTCATCATACTCCTGTCCTCACAGTTATAGCTCACAAAAACGACCAGTCACATCTGTGAGGTAAGCTTTTTCTGCAGAAAATCCTAAAATTCATTCAGATGCACACACAATGAGCTTGAAAAAAGTCGGTAAGTTGATAAATGAAAATGTAAACCCAATTCCTGCAGCCGTGCTCACCTTCGTACTTGTATGGAGACCCTAAAAGAGCACCTAAATTTCGATAATGACGTACCAAGAATAACTATGCTGACAGTTCTAAAAAAGGCCACAGCTACTATACAAGTACGTTCCATGAATAAGTTGTTTTCCATTATTTATAATACATTGTTTTTGATAACTTTGCTTATTCGTATCTATTTTATTTTTAATGTCCAGCTTTTAAAACAGAAAAAGCAGTGTCTTGAGGTCTATGAAGATAGTGAAAAACAAAGATGTGTTCAATTGCTCAAACGACGCCAAGCTCTTAGAAAAAAGTTGGAAGAGAAAAGAAGTCGTTCATTAAAGCTACAGAGTTGGAAAGAAAGAAATCGCAATTGTTCTGAGTGTTCTATTGCGACTACATCTTCAGGTAAGATTTGTTTCATTGAACCTCTTGACAATGGTTCCTATGATTCTAAAATACTATCTTATTTCTTTACAGACGATTCTGAAATGGATTTACGATCTGGTTCTTTATCTAATATAACTACACCGTCTTTAAATAACAACACACAACTATCTAATACAGCAGCAGCGGGTCTCAACACATGTGTTAATGATCCAAACTTTGTCTTACACATATCGAAACACAGAAGTCTCAGTTCACCCATTGGCACTATAAGCAGTTCACCTGTCGGTTTGGATGCTTTCGATGCAAGTAGTTCAGATTCAGGATTTGAGGAAATCACTATATCTTCTAATGGTGTTGTATCTCCAAATGAAAACTCACTAACTTATTGTATCAATGATAGATCTCAATGTGTGTCAGCATATTCAAACAAGGTATGCAGGGCTTGCTAAATATGTTCGATTTGTACCCAGTCATCTTTTTATTTCCTTCGTCGACTGTTTGTTGTTCATTCTACTCAGAATTTTTTCATTTGCGTGCATCATAGTCAATGCTGCAAATTGGACATTTCGACGGCTTTCAGTCACATCGTGCCAATCAGTTTCCTCACATTGTGTTCACTGATAGTGCAGTTTATTTATGTGCTCAATTATCTGGTCTGGAATTTTCGCTTTGTTAAAAACATTACTAATTTGTAGCAGCTCGACGTTTATCTTCTATCATCATACGTATTCTGAACTTTATTTATTTTCAGTTCTCGGTAAGTATTTACTGTCGCTGGTCATGTCAATTTAGTAGTGACTACGAGTTTTTAGAGACTATTGAGTGGATTGTAATTGATATTTAGGACTGTTCTCATACTTTACCGACATATTAGTTTTAAACGCACATTCCCTTTCCTGTTTTTAATTATCTTAATCCTTCCCACTGTTGGTGCGTAATGCAAACTGTGATTCTGCTCTATTTTGCATTTTACTGAATAATATTCGAGAGCCCTCATAGTTGCCTGCTGTATCTAGCAGATTTTGAATTAAACCGCTTAATATATTTCCCCGTTTATCTAATCCCTTCAACTTTATTTGTTGTCGTATATTCCTCGAGTACTCACCTAATATTTCTGTGCGGATGCCAGATATGTCTTTCACGAATGAGTCACTATGCTTCTGAATCTCGTGCTATACACAAATTACTGAAATTTCTTGGACTGTCTCGTGTCTTTTCCAGCTTACAAGTCACGTGCAATTTCGGCAGCGGCTTTATAACGTGCTTCGTGGGCATATGTATGCCAATATGAACTTTGTATAGTATTTTTCTGCGAAGGGTATACATGCTTTTAAAGATAATCTGATCATCTATCCAACGTGGGTGCTTAATGCACTTGCATTATTTTTTAGTGATTTTGTCCAGTTTTTAACGGCAGCAAATTTGCTAGCTGTGATTGTTTGTACATTTAATGTTAGAAACCTTATATGTTGCCTGATATTCAAGTGACAAACTTATAAATCCTGATTGATCTGTTTGTAAATAAGACAATTCTTTCCTCATTAAAGTTGTTATTTCGAAATATCCCTACAATGGCAGCTGTTTTATTGTAAACGAAGTTTATTTCCTAAAGGCAATCTGCCATGTTAATACCCTAATTCGCTTGTAATAATATTGATCCTTTTCAAATTGTCTATATATTGTCTGCTTTCAATCTGTTTCATTTATGATCCATTTAATTGGGTCTCTTAACAACTGATCTCGTTCAAATCAACCATTTCGTCTTTTTTATACCTTGTTCCGTTTGTTTATGTGATTGGGATATTCGGATGGGAAAAACAGAATATATCTCTTATGGGAGGCGCTAAAGGCTATTTATGTTTTGTCTCGATTTACTAGGTAGTTGGCACAATATCGTTTCAGTGTTTTTGACTGGGATTTGTCGTGTGCACTTCAAGCAGCACTGATCTCGTCATACTCCATACGTGTACTGTTTTGTATTTCTATTTCTAGAATCCCCTAACGTCTTATCAAGTTTAGAAAAATTCACAATTCTATGCAGCCGAAATTACTATATTTTGTACTGCGATTAATTAGCATTTTAGTCCGTGTGTTTATAGTCTCTCATTATACAGGTGGACGAATGTTTCCACTCTGTGGTTAGTTGAGCCATTATATTTTGCTCAATGTGTTCACGTTTTTGATCAGATTGACCGATTATTGTAGGGAAAGTGTAAGGCTATACATTTTGTGATATAAGATATCTTACTTTCATTTGTAGTGAAATAACCCACCCTTGTATTTAAGTAGTCCCAGTTTTCTCATTTTTTACTGTCTTATGGCTTTAATACATCCTTAATTTGACGATTAAGTAGTTTGCTCAGTTTTTTATCTTGAGTCTTTCCAGTACTTTCTGTTTGATAGTGAAAATTTCGCTTCTTTTCAAAGTGAAATCGATACGTAGTTTCTGTGCTTAAAAACAGCTGTGACAAGGATAGTAAGGTGTGGTATTGAAGACATACTTGTGTTCCATAGGTTGTGCAAATTGTGAGCAATCATACTTCCTTAGTTTCGTAAATGTTACAGTTCAATTTACCGATAGATTCTCTTGAATATCCGGTCTCATAGGAACAAGTTGAATATGGAGATAATTTTATGCTCGTAAATTAATCGCTCATTGGTTTGACTACACCTGTTAATTTTAGACCATTGATAATAAAGCATGAGCCCCATCTCCATTGAGATAACATCTCAAACTATGAATGTAGTTTAAAGCTCAATGTGGAAACACTTTTCGAACTACTATTAGTACTACTAGTGAAACTTGTGGTCCAAATCACATTTGATTCATTACTGCAAACTATGTGCTTAAGAATCAATTTAACCTAGTAAGACAGTCTTTAGACGGGATCCGTTCTTTCCGACGTTCGTCTGTAGTAAGTCTAGATATCCCAGGAGGTAAACTCATGCTTCATTTGCTATCTTATGTGACCAGCTGAATAATGTGAACATTACATGTTTCACTGTTCATTTGATCGAAATTCCTATCTCACTGTATGTCCAGAAACAAAAATAGGGACGAAGCATCTGGCGTTGCGTAACCTTTTCTTGGTTTGGTTGTCATGTCCAAATACACCTAGCTTGTAGGTATATCAGAATAGTAGTGTTTCTACAATTTACTGTTACACAGTGTAATAGCATTTACTGCTAGTAATGTTCCTATCAATAAATCACCGCCATGTTTGGCTGTACGGATTCCCTATTTGTATATTTTGACAGCACAACTCAGTTACTAAAGTTTTGTCTATATCTTGATTCATTATATAGGAACTGGTGATTCTACGTAACTACATAGGAAAAAATCGGTCTAAATTCCGTGTCATAAGACTGAAAATAGCATAGACTATTGAGCATGATTAATAACAGCAAACAAAATCTCGTTTGTCCGTGAGGTCGATATTATTTTCTATCTATTAGAAAGATAAGCAAGCTTAGTTCCTAGAAATATGGGCTATGTCACATTTCAATTGTTTTAATTGATCTTCAGTGATGACGATGTTCCTTTGAGTCATATACTTAGACTTCAGATTATTGTCTTAACTTCAGATTGTTATGAAATAAACCGAAACAGCTATTATGAATTAATGTTCTTCAAGCTAATATTAGTAGTTGAAACTAGGTATTAATGCACATTCGACCATAGTTATAAATTCCGCTAAATTTATCTCGCCTTATAGGACTCATAAAAGTTCCTTGTAACACTGTGTAAAACGATAGTGTAGTTTTCCTTCAATACAGTATAGGCTGTTATCATGCATTTTAATTGTACTTCTGCTCATCACAAGTTAAGATCTCAAAAATGCCTATCTTAGTTGACGTTCTAAGAGTGTTCTATAGTTTAAAAGCAGTGTTTTTCAATATATGTTGCAGCTATCGAAAAAACAACGAATTGTAAATCAGCTTCTGTCTATTATTTTCACTGTCTATGCGAGTAAGTAATTTTATCACCAACTTGGCAGATGGAAGATGATTTCTTAATGTAGTCTTTTGAATGTTAAACAAGGAATTAACGTTGTGCGACATATGCTTGGCTCATGATAAGGCTTTGGTCTGTATTTCATGATTAGTTATGTTATGTGACTGAATGTTATCCCAACTACTTTGTTTATCTAGTTACCCAATGTGAATTAGTCAATCAGCATAGCCAATTGGTTAAATATAAGGTACTTAAAGTTATACGAATTGCGGGATACATTTTTATCTGTTTTTCACCAGTCCACGTCTTTTCTGATTTAAAGCCTCATCATTCAAAAAAACTTTTGTACCCGGGACCTTGCGTTTAACTTCAGCACTATTTGGTAGTTTTGCTACATACAAAGAATCCTTCAGAAACATCTATAATCAAATCTCACCACGTCATAGCTAGTTTTAAAAACTGCAAAGTACTCTAACTTTCATGTATGAAGATGGAGATTTTTACCTGTTCCCAAATGCCATGGTGCGGCCGAGGGTGGGGAGAGTTAGTTCTCCCTCTCGAAATGCTCTCACATGGCTACACGTATACAGCCGCTGCCAGGGAAGTCCTACTCATTGCCTTCTCGTGGCGGGGGTGTTGCTTATGAAGTTGATAGGACTAAAAGCGAATATCCGGTGCTTTAACCGGGTTGGTGGGTACAGAGGATCTACCTTGGGGAGTTGGAAAATCCTGATTCCAAACCAGTGGTGTACATGGACTCTAGGATCCTGAGGGAACAAATGACATATAAACCTATTGTTGGTCACTGGCTATCATGTGACTGCATCTTCTAACGTTGTTCTACTGCTTTGTGGATTAGACCTCTAGGTAAAAGGTTCGGGGAGTGGCTCCCCCCCCCTAAGAAAACCACTTGCTTCGGTTTGGCCATCAAGGCAGTATCACATCCCACACACAAATCAAATGACTTGATTGCTTTACTTTCTCGATTAGGGTTGGGTGTCGATATAATTCACTCGAAACAAACTACCACTCATAAGCATAAGAGGGTAGTTCAGACATTCTTTCATTATCAATGACGTCTCTAAAACGACTGCATTTTGTTAACATCTTCACCGAATTGGACTGTATCATTAGTGTATTCCAAGTCTTCGAGAGAGTTCCCAAGTGGGTCGGTCCCTGAAAAGTTATGTGACGAAAGTGCTACCTTTATGAATGTGTACGATGAATAGAAATAAAGGAAGTAGACCGGTCTAGCTGATAGTTCATTTTAAGTTCTGATTTGAGTGGTCGTACTCGACTGAAAGATGTGCCTCATTACTCTTTTTGTTGAAATCTCTCGGTCGACGGAGTCGTATGTCGCTTTTAGGTTGATCGACTGTGAATAATTCGTCGTCGATATGTATGTCTGTTCTGAAATCTATCGAAGAGTGAAGTTTTGGTTGTAAAACTAACGAATCATAGTTAACATGACATGTGTATTCATGCAGACTATTTTTGTTTAGTTATTAGAGATTTTATATAAATCAAAATATTACAGCCAGAGTGTTCGGACTAAAGTTATTCCATTTCATGTACTCTGAGAGAATATAATATTCATTAGACAAAATGATTAAAGGGCTTAAATCTCGGCTAGTCATAGAGAATTCTAGCCGTCAAATCTCCATGAATTTAGTAAAACCATAGATGGTAAATCTAACATTAGACGACTATGTATTATTAATTATGGTTACTTATCACTAAGATTGACGTTGATTTTTAGCTTATTGAAGAAAAAAACAATTTGGTTACTATAACCATTTATATTCACATTGATTATCCTATCACTAATCCTGATTGACTGTGGAGCAATTAGTGTAAGACAAAGGACAGAATTGGGCATGAAGTACGTGAACCTGATTATTATCATCTTGATTAAGTGTTAAACTATTCTTTATCAAGAATATGCTGAGGGATTAATAATGTGACGTGTTTCCACAAGTTGAGGTATACTTTAGATCTACAACCATTTCGACATGATAATGATTTATGGAATGAAGACTTAATAACATTAAAGTTAGAGAATAGACGCTAACGACGAACATTTAATCAGAATGGATCACAGTAATCTAGCCATAAATAATCATCGTGTTGTGGGATGTTAAACATCTTAAAAATCTGTCCAAATATATAGTAATCCATTTGGAAATTTATTATTAAAAAAATGAGAAGTTGCGATAATATTTTTGAATGGATCTTCACTAATGATCAAGTTAGTACATAAAAAGGACTATGATAATGATACAGATATCAAAAAATTATATCCATTAAAAACTTTTGAAAAGATTGTATAAATTAACAACGTAGCTATGGTTTATGTAAGTAGTCTTGATGTAGTTTGGAATTTGACCTTGAATTACTCACTTGGTCATACGTTTCCATTCATTTGGTCTACTTCGATCTGAATCATCTGATATTATAATGGTTGATCGTCATGTAAGTCCGATAGATCTCTTTACAAGGTCACTGAAGTTACAACTTAACTAGTTCTCACACAAATTGTATAGGTGTCTTGATTGTCTAACTAAGATCGTATAGGTGTCTTACCTACATTTTTTTGTTGAAAAAATATGTTTTAAAAGACTGGAAGTTAATTAAACTATTTCTTATTTGCCATACTTGAATACCAATGTATCATGAAATTAGTAATCTAAATGAGGTTTCGTTTTAATATTATTACTCTATGTGTTTTCATTATATTCTCTTCATTCATGTTAAATATTTGTGTAATTTTATTGTTGAATGATTATAATATACAAACATATACCTATGTGAATT